TCGAGTTACTACGAGATGCAAACGTTAGGCTTTTAATTACTTTTACGGCCGAAAAAACTGCAAGAGGACTTCGTCAATTGTTACAAATTGAACGAGGTTACGAATAGCGTCAATAGTTGAATTTTGTTAGGCTCAAAAGTCACGACCGACGGTACTCCATGAATTATAGACCTTAATTGTGCATGTCAAACATTGGTGCAAGAAACGACCAAATATCAAGAATACCATGAACAATACCACCAAAATAGAGGTTGTCTTAAACATCTTAATTTCTTCAGTATAGTAAAACTAGATGAACGATTTCGTGAAGTCATTAGGGTCTCTTTGGATCCAGTAAGATTGTTTTCACAGAAAACACGATTTTGATCTCTTACATTAAGGATCAAAACCTTTCTACATTTACTATTACGTTTAACAGGATTTTTTTTTACGACGCACATAGTATGAAAGATAATTTTACTTAGAGACACAGCGAGTATCATGGTTGATTTACGTCGTGTTACCTGCTCCTAGAGAGCGTATATTTCTTTTCAATTACCAGTACAATTTGTCATTTTCCGGTAATGGCATATTGGAATTTATAAACATAGCATACACTTCCTGCAATTTGTTGACTAAACATTCAATCCTTGTGTATCTTACCTAGGCTTAAAAAAAAGCAAAAAAACTAATTTTTTAGAATTATAACCTAAAGTTTAAAGAATCATTATTGGGTTAAGAAGGCCTTTTAGTATGAGTTCTGATTCATGGAAGCTATCTCTGAGTTCCTCGACAAAATATAACTGCCAGTTTACGTGATCTCGTGACTATTTGATTGTTTTAATAATCAGCTTAGTTTGACAATCAAAGTTTTCGACTCAAATCTGGTTAAGAAACTCACAAGCCGTAATAAAAACTGTTTAATCTCGGAAAAGGAAAACTTATAACCATGTTTGTACGCAAAACAACTGTATATACATTGGTCGAAATTAATCATCTTTCCTTTTTAATTTCTATGACCATAATTGTCGGCAATAATCACCTTCCGATGCGAATTTTTTTCATCTTGAAAGACTCCCGTAAAAATTGAACTGTTGCTGGAAAGAGTCACCGACTTTCTCTCATCGAGGAATTTTCATCTAAAAAGTTTATCTGAAGAACAATTATGACCTTAAAAAAACTGTACACAGGTAACCGACGGATAGAAGATAAACTTTTTTATACTTTTATGAGATTTAGAAATATAGAAAGTAAAGAGTTTAACGGAAGTAAAACAATGAAAACTCGTAAGTTTTCTGTTCCTTTGGGTAGTTACGTGTTTCTAAAAGTATTCGATTAAAGTTTTTCAAGAAACATTTTAATACTCTAGTTACTAAAAATATGTTAAATGCCGTAAGCTTAAAATATTCTCACGTATAACAGAAACGTTTAAAACCAACCAAAGACCTGGATAGGTCGTGTGTGGGCATGCGTTAGCATATCGCGCAATTTTAAATCACATTTGAACTTGTTATGTCACGATAAAGTGATTTGTTATTCCTTTGTGATGAAGATCCTATCTTTGTCATTTGCCTTTTGGTCCTGTAAAGATAAATTGCTAGACAAAATTCACTTTGTTCCCCTTTTTAACCAAAGTTATACCTTTCGTGCGATGTTGCTGCGCGGCGAAGCAGGGTTAAGCATTCCCTTGGTGGATTTGCAAATTTGGCGCAATCCCGCTATCACGCAATGACTGGATTCATCGCGTGTTCAGTAGATTGTTGTGAGCCCTCCTTACTCGATGAGAAGCCCGTAATAATCAATCATATAAGAAGTCTCATTAGCAAATAATCTCTTTAAATCCCAGTGTAAACTATGATTTGACGACACCACTACACTGTAGGAAGAAACATCCTCATTGATCGGTAAGAATTCTGGACACTGGCGGATTCTTGGTAAAAGGCTAGAGATATTTTGAAGAATCAGAGGATTCGTACATAGGAAAAGGCTATGAAAACGTTGTTTTCAAACCGGTAATCTGGCCTTTATCCGAAAAAATGCAATACGTTAATCTTTTTATTAAAATTTAAGCTGCAGTATTACACCAGTATTTGTTTAGCGCACAAACTTCAAATCTTTAACCCACGGGTTCCCTCTTGTGATTGTTCTTTCGCTTTAAATCAACATCAACATGCATCTTCAATAAGCAACTGGTGTTTAGTCGCTTTTGTAAGAAATACGTAGTGTTTTCAGGGGACAGACTCGCATGCCACATTAACTTTGTCAATCTCCAGTTATAGTCAGCTAATCGAAAATCGCTTTAAATCATTTCCATCCGACTGCCCGTATAAATATATAACGCTAATACTAATACTCTATAAGCATTATCCTTTCAAAAACACGTTTCGTAACTACAAGGAATCACTGGTCTCGTAAAAATAATTTTGAAGTCATTTCGTGTATCTTCTACGGTACTGAACTAGCAGTGCTTTAAACACCGCCTTGGTATTTTCCATGTATACATCAGGCATTGGAATTTTTTCCTGAGCGAAACAAAAAATGTCTCAAAGGTATAAAGCAGGACTAGACAGGATTAGTAAATGCCTTAAAGAGTGACAGAATTAGGCTTTCACAATGAGCTCACAGAGTAGTTACTTCTTCAATACTAAACAAACAAGCCATCACGCATATAATGCAAGACGGATGAGGAATGACGGATGCGCTTAACTATGCGGTACAAAGCCAAAACGGGGACAGTCTACATATTCAGAGTCAACAGTCAGTTAGTACATAGAAAGCGAGAGGATAGTTCTCGGTTCAGCTAAGGAGGCAAGGTATCCCAATTTTTTCTAAATATTTTACGGTCTGTATTGGTCATGTTTTAATTAAGCGAAGGTTTATTTCGAAGATTTTACCACATTAGGGAGGAAACTGTCCCCCAACTAAAACTAAGTTTGAATTAACAGAGCACAACTAAGCTCAGTGGCTTTATAGAAAGTATGTCTTTAAAAATTTTGTGTACTTTCAAAGGATGCATTTAAGGCAGAGAATTCAACTGGGTTAAAGCTGAACGTTTTATCTATTGATGATGAATGATCAATAATTGCCAATTTCCGTTCAAAGTATATATTTCCTAATTTAACGCGTTTCATAAGCGTCATGAATTTGCCTGAGCACAAATTCATGATTATCTATAGTTTTACCACAATTTAAAAGTACCTCTCTCTTGGCTCCGATAAAGAAGAATAAATGCGGGATCAACAAGTAGCACGTCTGGCATAAAATAAAAATATTAGTTTCTTCAACAGTGATGTTTCCGTATGTAAAAAAACGAGAAAAAAAGCATAACTCGTTCCATATAGCAGTCTAAAAAGAGAAAAGCGACTGAGATCCGATGTTTGCAGTATGACTACGCATGAAATAACAGAGAATCCTCTAACATATGTTCTCAATATTCCTGACAGCTTCTGAAACGCGCTCACTCCTCCTTGTTGTAAAAAAATAGCGCTTATGGACATTTAACACCAGGTTAAAATTCAACAATGCGGAAGGGTTAGCTGGTGGTGAGTTAGGCGGCAGAAAACGGATTTTGTTCTCTATATTACCAGGGCAAACCATTATTACTTTCGCAATTCTGGTAACGATGACAAGAAATGCCATAAAAGAACAATGATAATACTGGCCCTCTTTGACATGGCTGGTACCACTGGCGTGGGGCTGGAATAGCGTGACAGAAATATAGGATTACCAAAACGTGCACGTCCAAAAATACTGTAAAGCGATTTCAGCGAGGTTAAGAAGGGATCAACCGTGTTATGTTTGGCTGCGAGCGGAAAAAAGATTTGTATTTTGTGGCCGGTGACGTATCTTACATACTTGGCGAAGTGGCGCGATTATGCGCGAACAGAGACGAGTCACCTGTAATCCGCCCTCTCGAGGCAAGAAGCTAGCAACTGAAATGGCTGAAAATCACGTTAACCAACTTTTACCAGGATAGTTTAGTTTTGTGTTATGTCATTCCGATAATCACGAGGAAGCAACGTGTTTGACTTAACCGAGGGTGTAGAAACAGTTTAGAGCATTTTTTTCGAAGCAATTTTAAGAAATCTCTCACTTAAATTTCAATGAGGGGAAACGATAAAAGAAAAAAAAGTGTATACTACTGATTTCTACATAATGGCAAATGCGAAACCATTGCGACGATTGTTTAACTATTCAAGAAAGTTACCACAAGAGCTATATGTAGCTTTGTTGCATAAATCGCTCACAAATCGTGAATAACAGACTCAAATAGACTTTATTATAAACAGTTCCTCAGCAATGGAAAATATACGTTTTGCAAAATAGTGAAATGTTATTTAAATATTCTTCTTATATCTATAGTCACCAATTAAACCTTTTTGAAAGTAGGCGGTTGAAAATGAAAAGGCAATGGGCTTATTTCTATTTTTTTCCAAAGCTGCGTCACTGCTGGTTAAAAAGATCTTCAGACTAGTCAGAAAAATTACTGAAACTAGACAGCGGGCGTTGACGAGTCTAAACTAAATTGAATTAAAGAAAAACAGTTCACTAAAAGGATATTACATTTACAGTCACTTTTCTTTGCGGAAAGGGATTAACAAAATGAAAGATAGAAAGTAAGACTATGCCCAGTAAAAATATCACACACATGAGCGATATACCTCCATATATAAGATAATCACCCAATTCATTGTATTAATCATTTAGTAATACAATAAAACTGAAGTAACCGAGGCAATTTCCGTATTTTTATGATAGAAGACCAACGGTGCTGCTTTATGTTTTTTCTAATTTTAGAAAGCTGCCAAAATATGTTTAAACGTGTTAAATTTACTCATAACCATACATCATATCCGTTTGAGTGGGATTTTTTCGTCTCCTGTCAGTATAATATAGATCGTAAGGTTGTGTCATGCAGTTTGTTCCCAAAAGTTACGAAAGAAGGGCGTGCATATTGTCGCAATTTTAAAGGCACTTAGCTCACTGGTTTCCAGAAAATATCATGATCTAGGATGATCATAGTTTTCTACTTTAATTAACTACCCTTTGCTTCGTTGTAGGCGTACAAAAGCCTCTTCAAGGAGGTCTACAACACTGCAATTTTAAGCCTATCAATCATTGTCAGTTGCGCGAATTTCTTGAGCAAACGATCGGCATTACAAACAGATTGATATGTGTACATAGTGATCTAACTGGTTTAGGTAATGTAGTACGGATGCTCTTTCCTTTAAGCGCGATTTGCTTTACCCCACTGCTAGGAAATGAACAACGCTCAAATAGCAAATGAAATGAAGGGTTTCGGCATGACTGTTTTGATACTAAAGCTCGAACGGATTACCTTTTAATATCGGTACACTTTTCATAGTGTATATATAATTTTACAGATTGACGCCCTTACAGGAAGTGTTTTGTGACTGAGTTACGGTATATACAGTCTCACAAAGCAAAGTATTAGACGTCTTTGAATGGCGGCCTAATCACAGCCTAGAAATTTTGGAAAAAAAGTAAGGAGGAAGGGTTTGGTTAGGGCAAAGAGAATCCTTTCAGCGTAATTTTTGCTATATGCCATGTTATCAATAGTTACACAGTTAGGAAATCGTTATAGGATTTTGAGCTGTCTCCACGCCTATTTATCACTTTGTTTTCAAACGAAGATGAAAAGAGGTAAATTGTCTTTCTTTACTTTCAACCATAGCTACGCGATCTGGTTCGATTGCATTAACTTCTTTAGTATACTAATGGCGTAAAAAAGCTTACATTAGTCCAACAACTTTTTTCACTTTATCTTGCAATAAGTCCAAAATTTGCCATAGGATTTCGGGGTTGTCTCGTCGTCTTTACGCTTATCAACTTAGACAAGAATAAAGAAGCAGAGAGAAGTAACGAAAGTATCAAATCTTCTTATAAATTGCAAAAATCACTCGGTAATCTTCTAGATTTAGGCGATTCGATTAGAAAAAGGCGGGGTTCATATAACTCATGTCTATAAAGGCTATTATGTAAAACCAGGGCTTTCACTATGTGAGAGAGAGCTGCTAAGTAAGCCCATCTTCTTCGCTAAGTCAGCACGTTACTTACTGTGTGAAATGAGAATTGCTAGCACGTTAAAATCCTCTTTCTATCCGCAGAGAGCTGAAGTAGAGACAAGAAGCAACATCCTCTCTCACCTTTGTCACCAAGGCTAGCTTTCAGAGGGACTTTCCTAAACCATCTTCAATAAAACCTCAAACTTACTTTAAAGATCATGGAGTCAGATTTGAGTTCTTCTTCATTTTCTATTGATAACATACTGAAACCCGACAAATGCGATTCTACACAAGAACCTCGCTCTGCAGACCGAGCATTAACGTTAGCAGAACGTCTGGCAGGTGAGCCGCGAAAAGTTTTGTCTCTGACCCCTCCTCGCAGCGTTATGAAAGAGAAAATTTCTTTCAATTAAATTTCCCTCAGAATATTCATAATCGTTTTTGTAACTTAATTTCAAAGTAACTTAGATATATTGACAAGAACTTGAGACCCTTTAGTAAAGGGAAGGCCCTAAGAGGAAAATTCTTTGCATTCGCTGTTTCTTTATATGTTCTTAAAATATTTTATGCTTAAGCAAAGGCAAAGAGAACCTTGGCCAAGAGCTGTTTACGAGGAATCGGAAGCCATGTGTTTCCGCGCTGACACAAAATAAGTCTCCAACTCATTCCTACGGCCAATTCAGCTACATTGGAGTCTGAAATCCCTACTGCACAGAGTCCACCTCAACCCACCTTTTAGGGACTAACTCATTAACAAGTAGAGAAATGTAGAAGCTCATGAAATGCTTTAAGTAACATAAAAAGGCCAGTTTCAGTTTTATTTCCCAATTAGTAACAGGTGAAGCCAGGAGTGTACGTTTGAAATTTGATTGTTTTTTTGATGGTCTTCTCTCGATATTAAACATGCCAGTTCAGCACAAGTTCATTTTTCTTCCAGATATAATACTTGAGGTACATTATGGTTCATCCAGAGGGAAACATCGGCGAACACGCACCGCCTTCACCCACCAACAACTACAGATACTGGAAAACACTTTCTCAAAGACGCATTATCCGGATGTAGTGATGCGGGAGCAGTTAGCGGCCTACATTAACATTCCAGAATCACGAATTCAGGTGAGGCCTGAGTCGCAATGGACACTTTAGGAATCTTCCACAGGGATTTACCGCCTGATTCTCCAAATCCCCACCCGTTTCCAAGCTAAAGCACGCCATCTTACATACTTGTTTTCTGACCTGGCCTATTAAATCCCTTCCTGTTTTCAGACCTGAAATTTGATGGCTGCACGCGATTTGATGACTCGTTGCTTTATTATAAAGCAAGATCAATAAAGCCAAATCACGACACTGATTTGTTCTGGGAATCTTTGAAAATAGGAAAAAAAAAAACCCTAAGCAAAACTTTTCACCTCGGTGGATTTAGGAGTCAAGAGTAAAACGAGCAGAAAGACAGGAGTAGAACCTTTAATGTTAGTTCGTCAGAGCCAACATATACCAAAGAGGCAGCAATAAACCAAAAGGGAAAAAAGTCTGTTAAAGGATGGAGATTATTAACTCGGATTAAAATTGACGGACTTAAACAATTTGGACTGAAGTGTTAAGAGGTACTCACCGTGACGTGGCTCTTCAGTAGTTGCTGTCACACCTTTTGGTAACCCGTTTGCCTCTTTGGCTTCAAATTGAAAAGCGATAAATCAATTTCCTCGAATCTAGCTGATTTTCAGAATGAACTTATCGACACGTCTTTTTGGTCCCACTTTTCACTGGCACCGAAACCATTCAATTTTGACAATACGTCGCTGGTTATAGAAACCTTTCTCCAAACTTGAAAATTGACGCATATTGGCGGCATAAGTGATCCCTCACACGGCATGCTATACGAAACGATGTAAGGCCTACTAACGAGACATTCTCCCTATATCCCCCACAAATAGCATTCCTTTGCACAAGATCATTGCTTATGCGCATGAAATGCGTTGAAAAGCTGACATTTGCGTTGTAGGTATGGTTCAAAAACCGACGAGCCAAGTACAGGAAACAGATGAAAGACGGAGAGGAGCTAACAACGAGTGAAATGGAAAATAAAGCCCTGGAGAATCATTTCAACAGCCATGATGCGCCATGGAACCCGCAACATTTTTACACAACCAACAGTCTGCCCTTCGGTCCGGGAAGTGCTGTTTCACCCCACAGCAACTTCGCACCATACTCCTGGTCTGCCGTTCCTTTGTACGCTTCCAGCCCATGTGGTTGCTTACCATCGTATTCAGATAATCAAAGGAGATCCTCCTGGTCGTGCACGGCATGTTACGAAAATACAGATGTAAAAGGCCACTTACAATGAGCATGATTTGTTTGAAATAAGTCATAAACGTTAAAATAATGTAAGAGAGATTCAAACTCAATAGTTAAACGATGTTCCCAATATCATCACTAGATTTCGTCATTCCTATCGTTTTTATATTTTCCTTTTTTTGGCTGAACAAAACTTGGAAATTACAGAAAATAGCTACGCTTAAAAGTCGTTTCATTCGTGTATTTTGTAACTGTAATTGTTTGTCAACAGCCAATTGTACATATGTCGAACTGTGACGTAAAATGAAAGGTCTTCCTGCCAAGGAAAATAAGGATATTTCGGGTGACGTGAACATGTCAAATATATAAACAGGTTATGTATAATGAAGTATTCCATTTATTTCTCTTAAGTCAGGGATCAAGGTTACATTTGGATAAAATGCTATTACGTAGAAAATATCATAAAATTGAGTAACTAAGGAAAAAATGTGTATAAGTTATATATGTTTACCATAATAACATAGGTTTCCTATTTTAAGTTAACAATTGTGACAGCTGATATACGGAAAACTCATCCTAGAATAAAAATATATCATAAAAATGTGATAATTCTTCCAGCTTTGTTCTAATTCAGCTTAAAATAGATGAAAGTCTGGTTCAGGGATTAAACTAAAAGATAGTTCGGGTTCTTATAGAAAGTAAAGGAGCCGACAAAGAACTATGACACTGCAGACATGATATTTTCCTCACTTTCCGGATTTTAGGTAATTACAGGGTCAACCACATCAACGCGGTTTGTTGTTATAGATTGCTAATACAGAGGCGGTGTAGAAATTCCATTCGAAAACTTAGTTTGTCCTATTTCTCTGGAGTTAAAACATGTCAACAGTTGTTGGATGGTGTTTTAAGTCAATAAGTGAAATTTCGATTGGAGTTTAGACCTTATTTTCGCTATTCTGGCCCCAAATGTTAGCGAAGAAAACTATGAATAAAATCTTTGAGCAATCGTGACAGTAAATACCATAATAAAAATCCAGTTACAGCTACGTCATGGCTAATGCATCTTAAGAAATTATCGTCAGTTATGCTAATCTTCGCCATTCTTAATCATATTTTTCATGTTCAGTTGATTCCTACACCGTTTTGGTGTTTGAATAGTTATTCAAACTGTTACTTAAGGTTTTCGTCTTTTTCAAAACAATTAATTTTTTTAACGTGAAAGTGATAATGCCTATCAAAGGACCAAATTTAAATGAAACACAAACCGAGAAAAAATAAATCTTCAAAAGTGTTATCGTCTTTTTGCTGAATTGTTGGGTAGATCATCTATTATTCCCATTTTGTTCTTATTGCTTACATCATGACGAGCTCAAAACCATTCTTTCCCATTAATCTTATTAACCTTAATTCTCAAATACACGAAATCTCCCAATCAACTCCATTCTGTTAATTTCTTCACTTCCGCCTTACTCTTGTGTGTCAAATCAAGACATTCGGATGAAAAAATACTCACGTCATCCAAACAAATTTGGCTTCAATTGTGCCAGAGTTTACCGTCTGGTGATGTGTATTTGACGTCACTAACACCATGGACAAAGTACTTTTCAAGCTAAATGTTCACATTTTTGACGCATTCCCGCATTCTTGAACTTCTTTCCATTAAAGACAGCATTTTTCATTTTTTGGGTCATGTTTGTTTATTTTTTACATTAGTTTGTTTTATTTTCGCTGTGAATGAATGGCAGACTCACGTTGCACGCTAATTTTGTTTTTAAATTACTAGTTACCCTGGAGTGGTTAACCCATGCATGATTCATTTATGAGCGGGAGATCGAAAACAACATTATCTAGCTAAGGTTTCTCCTTCTTTGTTCATGAGAGAACGCGAATAATACTTTCCTTCACGTTTGTCAGCGTTAAACACTTTTAATTGCGGACTAATTCCTACCTTTTTGATCTGTTTTGTTAGTCAAAATTAAAATTCACGTTTCATTTTGGTAATCTTAAAAATTCCACACTGTGAAATCGAGCAATATTTGTGCGCACATAATGCAAACCTTTCGCTTTGACTTTTAAATATTAGCAATGTACATGCTATTTGTCAAATGCGCCTCGCTTATAAGCTTAAGTACCAGAAGACTCCTATTTTTCAGTAAAAGTTATCGCGTCCTTCATTGCACTAAAAGTTGTCTGTCTGTTCTTCGCCAATGTGGAACAAATCGACTCAACTGGCAATCGCAATATACATTTTTTAAATTGTAAATTAAATTGGTGGTGAGTTTCATTCATCGGTGGTGAGTTTCATTCCCAGAAACAAACCTAAAGCTGATGAGTCTCAATTTTTCTATTGAACAAGTATGGGTTCAAAGCTCGTACCAGTTTATTTAATTTTTTACACCTACATTGTGGTTTCTTTCAAGGGGTTAAAGGCGCAGATGTAAAAGATTTATCAGTTTCTACATCTGGTATTTATCTTGGTATACAAGGTGCTTCCAGCTTATGCAGATAAAACTTGGAGTGAAATCAGGTATTCCCGCGAAGAGGTGATTATGTATTAAACAGCAGTGTGGTTTTGCTCACCTAAATTATTTAAATTAAAGTCACAGTCTTTATATATTTTCATGAAACAGAAAATTTGATTTTCCTCAGAGAAGTGTCCCAAAGATTCTTTTTAGCAAAGGGAGCTAGATATAACAGTCGAGACTAGCATGGATTCCGGACGATTTTTGTAAATTAGTTTGCAGTGAAAGCAACCCAAGGACTTTTTATGGTTGTTGGACCTGGGAGAAATTGCTGCAACTCGAGGTATGCATATTTGATAAGCCGATCTCATGACATGTGGATCCCTGACCATTTTGGCTCAGCGCAGGAAGGCACACCTCCTTATCTTAAAACTCTTTCGGAAGATCAAAGGAGATCTTGGAAATTTTAAGTACTGTGTGGTCCTCGCTACTTTACGATAGTTAACACCCATAATGAAATTGATGGTTTCATATCCGAGTGTTGTAATCAAAAGAGTCAAATAAATGTTCGTAATTATAATCATCCATGTTATCGTCCTCGTTAATTAGAGCAAGGAGCTTGGAAGTATTTTACCCTTCTCTCAAGAATAATTTGGCGTCAGCACCGGCATTCACGCATAGGTTCTTAAGCCCGATCTCTGTATCAAGAGAACAAAGATAAATGCTAAAGTAAGTTAATAAGGGGTACCCTCTAAGAAACCACAATTAAGTTGTACTGCGATGGAAAGAATTCCTTCCTTTGAAGTACGCTCACACAAATTTTCCATTAAAGTTTTCCTGAACTACCTTGATTGCTGCTCAAGTAAAGAGCGATAGATTCCTTCTCAAATTAAATTATCATCTATCAAAATCCTTGCGATGACAGGATAATGGTTTTCTATAATACTAGAGAATTCGAACATTTTTGATGTGCTGATAACCTTGGGATTTCGTAGTTTTTCTTTGTTTTTCTTTCATAAGAAAACGTCTATCTCTTACAGATTGTTGAGGATGGTACACACGTAGAAAAACACGTAGAGCTATCAAATATCCCTTCGTTCTCATTCTGTTGTTGCAGTCATTGCTTTGGGCGTTTTCACTGTGTGTGGCCTCAGTACACGTCATATGGGCCAACAGAAATTCTGCTTATTTGTAAACGTTGGTTTTTAGTGGACTCTAACAAAATAATAGAGTAAACGGCATTCAGTTATCAAAATTTGTCAAATTTCAGAAACTTAATAAGGTTTGTCAACTTACGCGCGGTATTGCATAAAAGCATAAATGTAATCTTCAGTCATCAGCATGATGCAAAGATTAAATACAAGGGTATGCGAAATAAAGACGGTTTGGTTAATACACAGAAAGTAAAGTTTCGTTACAGGTCTGGCTATTTGTCTCATTTATGATAATAGCAAGGGTATGATGATGATGTTAACGGTCGGCTTTGGAAAAGCCAATAATAACCTTCTGAGTAAGAGATCAAATTGCCTTCAGGAAAGTTTCACATACTCCGCATAAACTGTTATCTCAAAAAACCAGATGCCAGATTCTGATAGACCAAATCATAAAGGAGCTAATAAATCGATGACTTAAATTAAAATAAACTGTGCATGCTGCAAGTTGGACGAAAATTAAAAGGAAGATAAAAAAAATTTGAAAAAATCATAAAAGGTCAATAAGAGAAGAACAAAGGTGCAGCCCGATCAGCTTTAATTTTTCTTAGCCGGTTTAACAGTTAATTGTACCAGCCACACTGAACCATTCTACTTTTGATCAACCCAAATATCATCGTAATTCATACACCAAGATTTAGAGAGAATATCAAATCACTCACTGCACAATCGTTTTTATAAGGGCGGAATAATCTTCAATCTGCTGCATTTTCGAATAAATGAAAGCGTGATTTTGATATATCTAATGCATTTGATTACACTTTTGTGACAGAAAAGTTCACTCGATATGAAATATCTAATGAACCTCTCAGCAAATCAGCAAAGCAATGGTTGCTTATCTGTCTCGACTGCCGGTAGTCTTTAACCGACGTTTGATTAAAATCTATCGGCCTTAGTGACAGTAATTAAATCAACTTGTCGTCGCCAGTAAAAATCCCATTCATCTTAATGCTTGGGACTTGATACTGAAATCCCACATTGGAAATCACGACAAACAGTCACTTAAGTGCTTCGTGAGGGTAATCGAGACGAAACGTTTCCTGTGTTACAAATCTGAAGCAAATCATTAATTGTACGTGCTAGTATTTGTCGAAACAAAGTTGCTGCGAAATACCAGCCAAAATTCCCTTCGTGTGTTACAATCAAAGTCCAATTTATCATCTTTGACAGAGTAAAGAGGCAATAGAAATTGAAATTTACGTTAGGCTTCTCAACGACATTATCAACACCGTTCTAAAGAGACGTTAAGGTCTTTGTAAATAATTTGATTTAAACTATTCTAGAGAGCAATGAAATTATTGTCAAGGTAAATCCCCCAAACAGCACTACAAAACTGAGAGTTTAGCCACAGATGTTACAAAATCAGTGAACACGTAGCGGTATCTCCTTAACACTAAAATGAAGTGAAAAGTTCCTTAATGAAATAAATTAAAAGTTTTAAGCCCGCTTTGGAGTTGTTAAGCAAAGACAAACTATCACAGCCGAGCACTGGAGGAAACGACAACAACCCATGAGGTTTTATAAACAGCTAATACGAGCACTCAAATTCCACCAAATCGGGTAAACTTTGTTTACATCTGATAAGAATGCATGCGATGTAGCCGAATCGAAAACGATTAGTATGCGAAAAACGAAATTCAGCTGTTACGCGAGAGGTGTAATATAAAGATATTTTTTCTGAAACAACGGAGAAAGTACTAATTGAAAATCTTTTTCTGGAGTTATTAAATCAAGTTGTTCATGGTTAGGATAAATGCGGTTACCAGATGTTTCTGTCAGTGATTGGCATTTTCAGTACTGAATCTCACTGACGTCTCATTCTCCTGTATAGCCTTCGAAAACAGCGCTTTACTCCAATCAACTCCTCTTTGGTCTAGCCAACATGAATCATAAAACACAACCTGAACAAGCTGTGGAATCTGGGCGAGAAATGTTGAACAACGGGAAATCATCTTCATTTATGATGGAAAATATATTAAAGCCCGACAAATTTGCTACAAGACTACAAGAATTTCGTGGTGAGGCTCCATCCAAGATCAAAGCCCTTTCAGTGGCAGCCCAGCTCGCAGGTTTGTTTTGTTTCTCACTGTCTTAATAAGTGTTTACTTGTCAGTATTCGAACAATTTCGATCTATTCCAGTGTATTTATCACCATCTAAAAATGAATGGCGAATAAGCTCTCGGATTAGGAGAGTGTTATGATGAGGAAGATTCTTCCCTTTCTTTGAAGGATTGTCATACAAGCTTTCAGTCCTATCCTATCTAACGGTTCCTCAACACCCAATTGTAAACTTTGGAAAGAAACTTGAAAGTGATCGGTTGAAAAACTTCGGATCAAAACAATATTCCGTGTTGCACCGACATGTTTCCACATCATTATCTCCATAAATTGCCCGGTAACATTCCTTTCGAAGAGGCAATACTATGTATCTTTGTTTCCAACAAAATAAAAATTTCGTAGAAAGCACTGAGTACTTGATGAGCCTAACTAAAAAAGAAAGGGAAATTCTGGCTGCAATAGTGAATTATGCATACTTAATATTAGTGTGCAGGCGCGTAGTGTTTTGAAAGTACTTGAGGAAAATAGCATTTAGCTGGTGTGAGGCGCCGTTTTGTCTCAGCCAAAAGAATCGTCAGATACCTTTAGGAATTTTCGAGCAAACTCGTCTAGCATCACTCAAAAAGTTCCGTTCGCAAAGTTCAAGAAGTTAGCAGTCTGGCCCTGTATCGTAGAAGGATTTCCAACCGATCACTAATCGCGATCCTGAGTTACATAAAACAATAACAAATAAGCAACTGAGTTTCGGCTTTCCCATTGTTTGGGATTTATAGCAGCACGAAGGTTGAAAATTTACAACCAAATCACGTTAACTTAGTTGATCATCTTTCGCTGCGTAAGAGCGCTTAATTCTAGGAAATTTTAAAATTTTCCAAACTCACATCAAATATAATCAGCTGTCAGTTGGTTACCACCTCAAAAAGTTAAGGTTTGCCTCCCAGTTAGTTACAATTAGCTTTTAATCCACCAATTGACATGACAAACGGAACTGTTTTTGATCTGCTACATAGGAGTCGTAAGAAACAGTGAAGATCTAGATCATGCGGAAATCGTAAAAGGCATTTACATCTCAAATTGAGAATGATTACTTCGAGTATACCAAAAAGAGTAGCTTGCCCGTCAGGTTGAAGAACGCAATGTTGTGTAGATCATTTTTGCTCTTGAAAGTAGTCCTAGTACGATTCCTTTTATTTTTGTGGGGATGTGGAGACTTCTCAGCTAGACCTTGAGTTGACGCGGAGGCTGTTGCTTTTTTTAAGGTGGGAGTCTTAAAATGTTGGAGTAAATTCACTAACCACAATTTTGAATAACAATGTCATAAATGAAAAACTTACTAACTCCTGCACTGACCCGTGGAAAGGACAACCATAAAACATTTTTAGGATTGATAGCCAAGATTGGTTATCATGGACAAACGATCTGCAGCGAATTTGTCCAACGAAGTCTATCTCCAACAGACATCTGAATAACACCATAAATGCACTAGGGTGCCCTATAAGAAATTCGTAGTAACTCATTGAAATATGGTGAGGAAAAACAAATAGATGACTCGATTTTAATGCGACAGAACAACTTCACTTTTGCATTCTTAATAATTTTTATCTTCAAGAGTCAGACTCCTTTTGCGCTGATGCAGGCATGTTGTTGAATATATTGAACTGTTTCCCTTTTTCAGCTAAATCGTTCCGGCCGTAATGAACGCTCGCTCTCATTCGATGAAACTAAAATTGGTCAGGCCAATTTAAGGTTTTGATACGTTTCGTATGGCTAGAATACTGATTCCATCGTTAATTTCACCTCATTTAATAGATTATATAGAAAATTTGTTACAAAGATCGAGTCTGGATGCATTTCTTTGCTATAGTAAATACGCTAATCCAATTTACAAACAATATATTGAAGGGATACTAATAACTGTAGAAAAGCTTGCAACAGCTAGTTGAGATCTCCTACCAATACAGTATTTAGAGGATTATGATGTCACGATTCTCTCTTTTAGCTGAAATTTAGATGTGACTTCACGGTCAGTTACTCAGAATAAGAACAAGGAATCCAAATTCTCACTTTTGAATATAAACAAATTTGTTTCTGCTCTACTAGACTTAAGTTGAAACCGATTGAGTAGGATAGAACCTAATCTTTAAGAGAATGAGACAAATAATTTATGTTGCCAAAAGTGGGCTATAGATAAGAAACACAAAGGTGAGGTTTTTAGTGGGATTACAGTCGACTGACCACAGGAAACTATAAAAACGATGATTACCAATCTATTCATTGTTTCTCATCGACAAGCAAAAGAGTTTAAGTTCATCTTTAATTTGACGTTATAACATTTCCTAAAATAATGAGCTCGAAGCAATACTCGTTGGCCCAGAAATTCCTCTCAGACAATTAATATAAATTTTTTATTGTAAGCATCCATAAATTTTACTCAGGGAAATATATATTCATTAGACATGGAGACAAACTAAAGCGCATTCCACCAAGATATCTGAACTAATACGAAGGAAAATAAACATTTTCTGCTCAGATTACGGTGTGTTAATCCAAACCTTTTATTTTTGTTTTAGATATCATTCTAGAGGCCCGGCGGGGTTCTTCTGCGACACAGCTACGTCGCTCACGCACCAACTTCACACGTTACCAGCTACGAATTCTAGAAAATACGTTTTCCAAAACCCATTATCCAGATATTGCTCTAAGGAAAGAGCTCGCAACAAGTACAAGTCTTCCAGAATCACGAATACAGGTATATCGACCTCATTTCAATTTTGCTCGGGTCAAATGACCCTGCCAAATTGTTTCTCTAAGAAAATATGCCATAGAGGCTTTGCACTACTCTAATCTACTTATGAATCCTTGCCATATCAGGCATGTGCCACATTGCCAGTTAGTTAAGCTGAGAGAAGTGCGACTTTTGCAGTGTGCTGTAATGATAGATATAGATTTGTGTAAGAGTATCCACGTGAATTGGAAGTCGATATCATCAGCAATACTCACCGTGAATCTCGTGGTGACGTCTCGAGGCCTCTGGCAGCTTTCAAAAATACCCTTTCATAGCCTCTAGATATCAAAGTTCTATCATGCGTAGGAAAGCTTTTTCGGTACTGTGTTACATCACAACGTTTCTTTCTATTTACCGGCAGATTTGGTTTAAGAACAGAAGAGCAAAGTTCAGACGAAGTGAGACAAGTTGCAACATTTGTTCATCAACTTCATCTCACCATACACCCTACCAGGCATTTCAAAGAGACTCTGCCTATATATTAGGCTCGTCAGTAGGGTTGTCAAATCACGAGAGACCAGCATTTCTCATGGCTACCCATGTGGTGGAAAATAGCCACCAGGGTTTCCACTTCCCACTATACGGCTCCTGTAGCCCCGAGAGTTCTACATAAACACAACCGGACGCACAAACGGCCAGGCCATCACTGGTATTTTTCATTATGCTGCGTCTTGTCTCTTGCCTCTCTGCTAAGATACCATTGAAACTCTACTATAAGAATCAGGCAGACTTCGAAGACAAAACTGTTGCTTCTATGTATTCTAAGGCGTTTCTTTAACAATGTCGGGTGAAGGAGCCGTCATCATGGGCTTCACCTCACTATCGTTAACGAATGATTCTTATAATAACAACAATAATAATTATAAAATCTTCAACAAAGCAGACTTTTATAGCTGAACGAGATCATTTACACCCTGCCGGGAAAAACTATCCTTAAGCAGGTGAGACATTAAACCCAGACCTCTTTTTGAGATAGAGAAAAACTTTTTGAGAGGTATTTAAGACTGCTTGCCTGGATTAACTAAACTTGATTTAAGTTATTCATTTAAAGGTCAGTTACTGAGTATAAACAAAACGCAATTTATACAATGTCACGTATATGAAACAAGGATATCCATAGTAACATTCTATTTCATTATTTCTCGTAATCTCATAAAGTAAAATTGCAGTCGTCGCTCCTGAAACTTACTACAAGAAAGGAAGCATGTTTATATTTATAAGGACGATGCACCATGGTTTAGTTACGATAACATAACGCTGGTTTTGAGTGCTTCAGTTTCCGAAACATCTGCTGTAGCAGTAAATGATAATGACTTTGCTCATTCTCGAATCGTTTTTTTATCTTTTTGCCCAAACAACCCTTTGACCAAGAGTTGACACGCTACCTATGGGAAATAATTCTAGTTCAATTTCTGTTCAAATCCATCTATTCTTATCGCAGCATTTGGCAAAAATAACCTACTTTTACTACACGAAGAAGTATATACTTGCATCATTATCGTCGAAATGTTAGATCTTTAGAAATGAGTTTAGGGCTAACAAAAAATATTTTAAATGAATATTTTTCTCAACGTAAAAGAATTGCTTTAAGAATTAGTTTGCTGAAAATATTTTTCTACTCAATTCAGGCCATAAGATTTCCCTCTAAATATGAAAGGTATATTCTTCAAGGGTAAAGTGCATGATTTCAGTTTTGTTCATTACCTTTATTCTTTGTCTTTCTAAGCCAAACCACCAGCCGCTTACATTTTCCCCAAACGTCCCCGAACATGATCACTTGGCTATAAGGCCACCTCCACTGCCTTGATGAAGCGAGGACGTTACTTGTTTCAAGAAGAGGGAAGATGGGGAATTAATTAGCACTGAGGCTAGAATAGCTAACGTCCTTGTCACTGGTTGTATAATGCACCCTACAAAGCCTCTTCATAACGGAATTTTGAGAAAGTATCAGAATTCATTGGACCAGGAGTGACCTATCAGCAATTGATTTCTGATATTCTATTGTCAAAGCAGTCATGACAGAAAATGATAAATTGCTTTTTAAATGAGAAAAAGCACTAAATAGATCCATTTACACTGTCGGTAAAACATGCAGCTCACACACAGCGATAACTTCATAAAACAACAGACAGCAAGGGCCAAGGCAGATAACAGCTGAAAATCGATTGAGGCGATCAAGTTTGGCCCTCTGTTCGAAACCTAAATGAAAAAGTACAAACTAATGTTAAAGCCAAATGTATGAATACATTGTCTCCTATAATCCAAACTTGTAGGGCGTATATAGGTTAGATGTCAGTAATAGACATCCACCGCGACATAGAAATTTCGTTGGTAAACAGAAGTATACGTGCTTAGATTGATCTTGAGGCCAAGATCTGAGGTTGAAATTTCAAGCTCAGCACAAGTTTGGAGAGGCCTTTATCGTCAATCTTTAGAAAAAACAGTTGTGTTTGAGTCAAGGGTGCAGCTTTGGATGAAATTGATAAACTAGATTTCTACACGTTACGATCACATCTTCCATCATTCTATTGACATCATGCCAGAGGAACAGACAAATTATTGGATAGCTTTCTCGGCTTACTCTAAGCTGAGGATAACTGATTTAACACGTGTCAAGAACTTAGCAGTGAGTCACAGTAAACTGTGAGTTACATACCACTCTAAAAGCGTAGGGGAAAGTGAGGAAGTTGTACAGGAGGCTGGCTTCAGTTAGTTAAACAAACAAAAGCAGGAGTGTGTACACTGCGACAGTACTGATTTAGTGCAGTGGCGTGTTTGTTTGAAGGTCCTCATGGGGGAGTCAGTGGAAGCACTTCCATTTTCTGTGGCAAACATCTTAAAGGACGATCTATCTAGAGGAGCGAAGAAGAAAGGCCAATCTAACAGCAACGCCAGCAAAGCTTTGACTCTTGCTGAACGACTTGCAGGTTGGTGAAGAATAGCTGTGGTTTAGGAGGGCGTTAAGCCAGATTAGTGTGTAAGAATTCTCATAAGCTACTTACATGCTGCTGAAATGTTAAAGCACCTGATGAAATGCGAGTCATTATTTGAGGCCGGGATTGTACCAGTGATGCTAACTGCCCTTCAGTTTCGTTCAAACCAAAGATCCATGTTACATTTATTAGAAAACGTCGATATTGTTTTTCCAGCCTGAAATGGAAGAAAATTTAAGATTTTTAGCATCATTTATCTGACATCTTAAACGTCGGCTGACCTTCCCAGAGATGTGTTTGCAACACCCATCTAATTATGAGTACTTTCTACGAATATAGATTCCGATGACTAGTAATTGGCGAAAACGGTGATCAAGAAACTACTTGGGGCCGTTTCATGGAAACAAATTTAAGTAGATAAGTGAGCTTACGAAGAATAATAAATAATTTTTTTCGTTTGCTTTTACTGAATAGGAAGTTCGGGTGATACCAGAAAAAATGAAAATATGGCCGCTGCCAACGGCCCCAAATAGCGATCAAAAAAGTTAAAACTCTCCTTCAAATGTCTCCATCACGCGCGTCTAATTTATGTTATGTTGTGGGAGCAACGGCATAGTGAATCCTATAACACTTTCAAAGAAGTTTAAACATAAATATCACCGGCCGTTATAGATCGGCAGCATATACGTAAGACGTTTATCTAGTAACTGAATGGAGATCTCAAACGTTTGTACAACACTGTACATCAGTAGGCAACACTTCACTATGGACCTAAGCACAGAGAACTTTCATCAACCTACACTACTATTCATGTCTGTTTTCAAAGCGTACTTCAGTGTTTCTGAGTTAATTGGGGTTCAGTGGTACTTCAGTGGTATTCTTAAGAACAGGGGTGCTAATTTTTTTATAGAATATTCGATCAAATCAGCTGTTTATAATACAGGCGAAGAAGTCGGAAACCTTTCATCGACAGAACCGAATTAATCCTACCGTGAAAATAGTACCGGTCACATTCCAGTGAAGCCATATCCTGTCAAAGGATTATTAATTGCTCAGAGCCTTTCTGTACTGATAACCGTCAATCTAAGGGTACCACATTAGAAGCCTCCTCTATTTTGTTTAATTGACTCACCAATTATCCAACGCACAGTCATTACCGATCCTTCATTGAGATAAAAACATAATTTGTAATCATCCTGCAAACGCATTTGTCCGTGAAATAGAGAAGGCGCCAAATTTCTTCAATAAGCAGAAGATTATTCGGAGATAACTAAATGTCTTATTTATCGCATGCAGTTGGATTTAAATGAAATAAGAACTCAGTCGTTGAAATTTTTTGCGGCAACTTTTTTTAGTTGCAACCGACAAAAGAAAGCCAATTACGCTTGTTGAAAATTGTCAGTGAATTTTGCACCATTTCATTCTACGTATAACTACGGTCTGTAATAGATTACTAGAACTTTCTGCATAAAATATTACAATTGGTGAGGTGTTGAATCTGTAATCGCAGTAAAGCAAATCATACGTAAAGCTATGCACTCGGCTATGTTGCATACGTAAAGCTATGCACTAGCTATGTTGTGTTTGGCGAGTAAAGTATGTGGTTTCCTCATGTTACTTGAATTTTATGAAAAGTTTCGCTGTACAGTATATGCAAAGATGATTGCTGTGTGTAGGTGGTCAGTTGTAATGTTTATCATGCATGACAGTTATAGTCCTATGAACATGTACTTAAGCAAACACTGATCAAAACGATTTCAAAAACTGCTAAGCGCATAGCTGACTGACTCAGTAACGTTCTATTTCCATGCTCAGATGTGATTATGGACGCCAAGATTAATGCAGAAGGCGGACTAAGTCAGAAACGACGGCGGACGCGCACGACATTCACACAATATCAACTGAAGACCTTGGAGAATACATTTTCACATACGCACTACCCTGATATTGTGATGAGGGAACAGTTAAACATGTGCACAAGCTTGCCAGACTCAACAATACAGGTAATAGTTATTTCCTTAGCCAAGACTGACTATTTCTGAGAGCAATTAGTTGTATGATTGAGTCATTACTCGAATATATGCTTTTGGTTAGCTCGCAAAATTTCAGATTTCTACCACTCGGCTCAGGTCACGTTTTGTTATCCGTTTAGTATCTTCGCTGAATTTTTTGGGGATGGCGATTTGCAAAGGGTGTTCATCTTATTCAGGTGCAGCAACAAGTGCTATTTAATCCCCGCAAAACATACATGCTAATGAGTATGGTACGTAAGGGATTGTATACAGCCCATGGAATAATTAAGCAAACACGAAGCAAAGAAATATTGATCATGTAAAATGAAAGTGACACCCAATCTCCTGAGATATTTTGAATCAGGTCATTGACATGATGATGTGGAAATTATTATGTGAAGGAAGGAATATCATACATTGTGCGCTATTTAGGCAAGATAACGATCTCTTAAACTAAGCTATTATCCAACATCGTCTTGCAGATTTGGTTTAAAAACAGGAGAGCAAAGTTCAGGAAGCAAAAGACCAGCCCTGTCATCCCTGTCAACAGAAGAAAAAACTTCAAGAACTCAGGGATGCAATTTTATTTGACTCGTTCATCAAGTTTACCGTTCACGCCAACTTTCTCGCCACAAGGAAACACCCCTTCAAACACTGGGCAAAATAAAGACGAGATGCCTCCCTTACCACCAATCACAGCGATGTTACCTACGCTGACATCTGCTTGGAAGCTCGTTTAGAACCCAACGAAGGTGTTTTTTCACCCCCCCCCAAAAAAAAAAATATATATATATATATATATATGAATGAATGAATGTAGGGGTTGAGTCTACCTTGGCATAAAGTGCTCAATGCTGTGGTAGTAGAATGTATAATTTATATATATATACATACATATATATTACAATCTTTTTTTTTTTAAGAATACACGAAAAAGTTAACGTAAAACAGCAATGTTTGATGATCGAGCAAATTCAGTGACCTTTAAATGTCATCAGGATGCATGTTCGTTTAATTTTTTCATATCATAGTGAATACGAACAAAGTTAATATTTCAGTTCTTTCCATCATCAAGAAGTAAATTCTCCAGTTTAAGTGTGCAATGACCAGAAATGTTAATGTGTAAATCATCAACAGCAAATTTACGTTTAAGAATTTATTTACTGTTTAAGTTCTTAGGGCTGAGAGGCTAGAATGGTTGATCTGAGTGAGCAGCTTAAAGAAAGCAACTTTTATGAACTAACTGTCAAAATACTTCGTTACTTAAAAAAGATTAATTAACGTTATAAAATTTCTACTATTTTACGAACAGTTGCGAATTCTTGAAATCATCTTATCCCTGTATCACCTTTCCACTCAAAGGTTAGTTTGTGCTTTCATGTTCCTGTTTTAACTTATTGTGATATTCTAATTTTGCTATCTTTGCTGACCTTTCGGACACCTACACTACGTCAATAAATATCAATAGAGAGCTGACTTGGACCGATAACTTAGTAAAAGGTTTTTTTCTCGAAATGCTATAAATTTACTCGCCTCCCTTCGCGTTGTTTTCAGATCTTCGGTAGTTATTGAGCCATTCCGACTTTCCGTTAAACAAACTTTAAAAATAAACTTTGTAACTTTTTTGGCTTGACACGGCAAATAATTTATCATCAATCGCAGCCGAAAGGCATGGATGAACACTCCATTTTACACCAAGCTTCATAATTTCCAGATTTACTCGAAGAGCACGAAGAAGAGTTAAAAAAGAAGCATCATAGTTAATCAGAACTGACAGCACCTCTTAGTTTTATAATTTTGCCGGTAGAGTACGCTGAGTAGCTGTCTGACCTCTTGTCTATTTTTCAGCCACGTAAAAATTGTGAACTCTTCGTATTAATCTTATTTCTTGCTCGAAATCTTTGTAATTGCCTCCACGCTCCTTTGTGGTCAATATTAAAATATTTTAACAGTTTCCCAAGTAAGAGCAAACGTCAAGCAAAACTTAACTCAACGCACAAATAATCAAAAGCAATATCAGTGGGGGTGTTCGTCCCTCTCACCATCTTTACGATAGGTTTCACCCGTCCCTCCTCTTCGCTCGAAAACACCACCGACAGACTTTGTAGAACACTAAGAGACTTCACAGAGACCACGATGAAAGCTAACTTAGGTTGTTATGGCATATTTCAGTTCAACTTCCCATTGCTTTGACCTTACTAATACTAACAACTAAGGACGTCGTCGCTAAGGGAGAAACCTGACCAAAGCTCTCAGAAGCAAGAAAATGAGCTAAATTTCACACTGGTTATGATTCTCTTTCACAAAATTAATACAAATATACTTTCGTATTTTTCTAGAGAGTAAATAGCTAGTTTTTTGTGTACATTGGGAATAACAAAATGATCGTTCAGATCACAGAGGGCAAGTCTACTGAGTTCCACGTTGTTTTGCTTCATTCTGTTTCCGGTTACAAGAAGGGCTTAATCCTATGTGGTCTGTGTTAAATTCAATGAGACACATTGCATGGCAATTTACGCGATCGGCACTCAACGGATACGCCGTTTACCAGGGTTTCTAACACTTAACTGATTTAAAGATATGATTCACCAACAGGAAAGCCTTCACCCCCGCGTTTCCAACCAACAATTTGAAGCAGAAATCACTCCGTGGATTTTCACACCCTCCCCTTGGGGTAACGAAAATGAGATTAACGCAATCCTTTGAATATTTTCAAAACCTCTAAGGCGATAATGAACACTTAGGGAGTGACGTTGAGCCTTTGAGCAGCTTTGACAGTAACTTTTTATGCGAATAATGAATGCGAAGCAGTAGAGCTCGAAGCTTGGGAGCTTCGATACAACGACATCTCATTCCCTGTAAAGCCAGTAATGAAATCGCATGATTTTCGCCGCATGCAATATGCGTTTCCTGTCTGCTAAACATGCACGTTGATCACAAGTTAAACAGAATAACATCAGCACATTAAAAATAAAAATGGACATGGGCAAAGTTGAAGTGGCCGACACGCTTCTTAACCCTATTAACATGTACTTAGAAATTGGACTAAAATATTAACATGGAACAAAGTGTTTTCGAGCAAGGACCTTCTAAAATGCCCAAAAAAATTAACTAGCACACTAAAAGTTATGCAATAATCCCTCCACCGTTACGTTTTGTGTACACTATTCCAATTACTATAATTACGTTCAACGCAGGAGGTCGCTGACAAAAGGTGAGAAAACGTGACAGGATATTTTTTTTCTTTTTCCTTCACTGTTCCCTAAAGAAAGAACATGGCCAAGGACATAACAAAACGACGTATACTGAGAAGCTTAAGTTCAATATGTTTACAAAACATCCCTGTTTTTCCTAGCACTTCTCAGAAAAAATATTCACTCTCCATGTTCCATTCCCATTAAAAGGGATTAGAACATAAGCTAAATGTTTTGAAAAGCGAGTAATGGCTTCCAATAAGGATTCTTTTCTACTTCAATTATGCACTTCTGTGGGGGACCTAAATCGGTGCTTTTCATTTCAGTACAAAACGTCAACAGTTCACTAAAGAATACGTTTATTACAAACTCAACCAGTAGAGAGGAAGGGAAGAGAGGGTTAATTCTCAACACAGTGCAAAGCCTTTAGCAAGTATATAATATTTGTTTTCTTTGGAACACGCAGAACTTCTCAAATGACATTATTTCGAAACGTAACTCAGGAAGCCTAAATTTAATGGATGAAAAATTGCATACAATGGTATTCAAAACCAGTGGATAACCGGCCCATACAAAAGTGTGATTTACGGATCAGTAATAGCTCCCGCACAAAAAGATTGCGCTAATTGGTTACCACTACAATAACTACCTTTAGGTGGGGTACAGTCCGTTCTAATTAAATTACCATCAATCACGACGACAGCTCGGTACTTTCTTGTGTTACAGAAGGGAGATTTGGATTACTAATCAGTTGCATCTCTTAGATAAGTCACATAACAAGCATACGACTTCTACTGTGCACAATTTTTTCTTCATTACATGTCAACACTGGAGTTTTAGAAGTACTTTGCTCAAAGGTATGACCTTTTTTACGCTCTTTTCGAAATGGTGGTTAAAGAACTCGATATGCGAGCCTCACGGTCAATAGTCCTGCTTTCCTGAGTTATAAAAGTTTCATCTTCCGACTTCCTGATTTTTGTAATGGCGCTAAATCAAGTTAACGTAAGCTTCATGTTTTATACCTTCTGCGAAAGGTACGCTTGTGAGCAAGTGTTCCTATTTTCTCTTCTGTTTTACCTCGCTTAAAGAGGCCAAAATCCATCTCCAGGCTCGATAGCTTGTTTATATAAGCTTATCATATGAAACAATGCAATAATTCTTGAATTCTGAATGGCCGAGCCATGGGAATATTACAATGTGGCCCACTTAGTAAATTGTATACAAAATAATCGCATTAAAATACCGTTTAAGACCCGTTTTTCACAATGTAGGTGCATTTTATATTTATTTGTTGGGTGAATGCCGCAACTGGTATTTTCATCACTATAGCACTATTTTAATGTGGAAGAAAGCGTCACTCTCTGGATCATACAAAATACCTGGCGATCATTCATTTAAACTTAAGACAAATTAAGAAAGGAAATTTCGGATTTCTCGCTTAACACAGAAGTGGAAATTATCACAGCAGGCAAAAAGCCATTTTCCCAACGTGACATTTACCAGACAACTTAACCGAAGTAACAAAAACCCGCACGACACCTCTTGAGATTAAAAATCCATGTGATGTTCTCACAAAAGCATTAACATTAATCACTAGTTCAGTCTCCTCTTGCTGTATTTTCCAGTGCGGCTACTGAGAGGTAGGCAACGTTGACCGTACTTTATCGTTGATCTGAAGTAAACGTCACACGATGGACTTAACATCATCATTTTCAATCGACAATATATTAAGAAGTAATCCATCTTCGAGAAATGCCAGACAGATGTTTGATGAACCGAAGGCACCGCAGGCTCTCACATTAGCAGAGCGCTTGGCAGGTATGTTACTAATACTTTTCAGTCTATTTTGCTTCGATTGAAAGACCCTAGATAAATCATTCAGTTGATTTAATGATAAATGCAGCAAATCGAAATCTTTCTACTGTAAGCTCTTTACGACCCTTGATTCAGAGCTACTGGGTATTCAAATACTTAGACCATAAACAGAGCAGCGACTCCAACTTCGACAAACTCCAACTGGCGAACGACGACCACACTTTCTGTAAACAACCGTCCTCGGCTTGTAAAGACCATTGTTTGTGTGTTGATCGAAACAGAAACCCAGAGACCCAGAAACAAAGACTGTTCCCCAGAAGGATGGCCAAATTACGTCATTTTACACTTCTAAATCTTTGCCTTTTCCTTCAGAGAAAGACACTGGCATTGCATCGTCACATTCGAGTAGCAGTAATCATGAATTGTGAAGAAGCACATTTTCATAAAATTCCGAGAAGTTTCGACAATTTCCGTTTTCCGAACATTTCTCATATCGTTTAAGCTCTAAACCTGTTTATCTTCAAAATTTTAAAATGTGACATTTAACCTCTTCACAACATGGTATTCTTTACAATTCAGAGGGATTTACCTTTGGATCTACCTTGTCATCACTTTGCAACCAAACATTTTCGAAAGAAAAAATAATTTAAGTGTTCACATTGCAGATATAATCCTAGAGGTACATTACAGCTCTACAAGGGGAAAACACCGACGTTCCCGCACAGCTTTCACGTATCAACAGCTTCAGCTTCTTGAAAACACATTCACAAAGACACATTACCCGGATGTGGTTATGAGGGAACAGCTCGCAACTTGGACAAATCTTCCAGAGTCAAGGATTCAGGTACTTTTATTTTTTTAATTCAATACCTGCACGGAATAGCATACCCCAAGTAAAAGCGGCCTTCTGCTATTGGAAACGACAAGACCTGAAAGCCCATTTGTAATTAAATTATGTACTCTCAACAAATACAGGGCAATGAGTTTTAGAAAGTGAAAGAGTACACTAGGTTTGTTGACAGAAAACCTTCTGGCGATGGATTTGGAATAGTAAAATATTCTTGTTGAGCAACAAAATATTTTTAAAACCCTACTAATGACCGAAACATATCAAATGAAAAAGTAAAATTACAAACTAGCTCGAAGGATTAAAAACATTTGTTTGTTGGTTTTCGTCCCCTGTGTGGCATGCAGTTTTCGTATGGGGAATAGTTGGTGCTTACATACTTGATTTCCTTTTCGCGACTACGGGATGTCTCGATTTGCTAGACCATGTTCATTTAATTGCCAGGTGACAGCCCTTTTTGATGAAACTCATTCGACAATCATTTATCATCCGGCAGGTTTGGTTTAAAAACAGACGAGCAAAGTACAGAAAGCAAGAAAAAGTAACAAAATTCCCCAAGCCAAGCAACCATAGCAGCACATCTTACAAATCAGATAACCATGTCAAAATCAGCATTCATGATACAACTGGGCGAACTTCTATTCCTGTTCCTCCAAGTATCGCCATTGGTGGGGAGACCCCATCGGCAGAAACAAGAGAAGTAGCGACTGCACTTGGATCAAGAGCGAGCCCTGGACGGAATTCAAAAGAAGCTGCTCAGGTGTTTTCCCACCAAAGACAGCCGTACACTTTTGAACAATATCCTGTTAGGCAGTATGATACTTCCTGGCATTGTTCCATGCCAGCCACATACACATCAACTCATGATTGCTCTCTCCATGGTTGCCGTGGTAACGAAGTCGATACGAGTGGAGGTCAAAAGGAATTGAATTCACGCTGTATAAGGAAACCAACTTCATCTAGTGTTGATCTATGGCGTTCTCAAGCAGGATTACGAAATGGCATTTGCTCAGGTCCTGTCGGCTGCAGGCCGTATTAACCCTTCTATGAATATGACGTTCGCTTCTGTATAACCCTTTTAATAACATGTTTCCGTTATCCTATTACCTATAATTCCATGAAGAAATAACTAATTTGACTGGATAAATGTAGCCATTAAAGAGCGCCTTTAAGTTAACCATGGACACAAACAGACGGAAAAATTGTTCTCACGAACTATTGAGGTTCCTTTTTCGGTACCGATTCGTTATATTCAACCTGTTAACTGTCACTGAAAATCGTAGAAAATCAGGCTGACATAATTTCATTGCTTGAATGACAATTACGTCTAGGGCAAGGTTTCCGTGGACAAAACTGAAATTTGAAATGAACAATTTGAACACTTCTTGTTTAACCTTCGATGTTTGAAGCTGCGTCTTGTACTGATAAAAGTAGATTAAAATGACCAAACGAAAGAATAGAAGAAGAGAAGAGTTCCAAAAAGTTATTCCTTCTGATAAAGATCACTTGAGTTCAGTTAATGTCTTTCTTCTGGCTTTTCTTCATTTCACAATTGTGACAAAGCTCACGGAGACAAAAATCAATCCATGTCAAAAACCGGGCTTTAAAATTTGTTGCGTTATATGTATCTCTTAACCTTTTATGGAAAGTAAAACTAAAATTGTCAAAAGTTTAAAACAACAGATGTCCTCAAAAGAAAACTCCTTAGATCATGGTGTTGTAATTCAAAGTTTAACATTGAAGGTTACACTTTCGTGCCCTCTTGACTGGTTACTAAACCCCCTATCCCATCCCCCACCCCAATCCCCCCTCCCTTGACCTTTACTTTTTTAGTGAGAACCAACCACGACTAGGGAGCAAGCTAAATAAGCAGTGGTAAGATGGTTGTTGATAAGAAGTGTACAGGTACATCTTACACCGTAGTTAAAGGAGAAAAGCTAGCGAGCAATGATTAGCAGTCTTGTTATGGAAAAAAAAGGGAGGAAACGCTTAAGAGAAATCCAACTTTCTTACCTTTCTATGCGACATAAAAACACAATGATTTGTTGTCCCAAGGACCCGTCAGCATCCTGAACAATATTTTTACAAGGCATCCATCTGTTGCGAAAACTAAAACTTGGCATCCATACTTCTGTCGTGTGAAAGGCCTAAGACACAGCAAACAAAACAAAGCACATAGATAAATTCGATACTTTTCTCAGTGACACGAAGGCATAGTACTCTAGCAGAGATTGTTCAACTGTACTGGCAGACTACATGAGATCTGCTGTAGCAAAAGATCTCATCTACCTACCGCTTAGACCATTTTTTTGTCTCGATCATTTTGCGAACCGTGAAATTGGTTTCTACGTCGTTCAGTCATGCTGTTTGCAAGCAAGTTAAGTTCACTTGACATTTATTGTGAACATGGACTTTGTTTTCTGCGGTATAAACAGCTCGTGGGCAGATGTGCAAATTTGGAATTACTACAAATAGTACACACCGCTTTATTAAAACGTCCTCGTGCTGTGTTGAATCAAAAATCGACATTTGATCTCTTCAATGAAGCAGTAATGAGACGCCGATAATGTGGGGGAACTTCCTTATTGATATACTCCTAGTGAACAAACCAGCCAAGTTTCCTAACAACAAATGCGCCAGTAACGCAACCTTATTATCCGCAATTAATCAAACGATAGTTTGCAGCTATCGACCATTCTTAACACGAGCAAGTACCTAAGTAGCAAAAGTTTAAAGAAAACCGGTATAGGATGATGCTGCTCTTGGAAAGGCGCCCACGCTCCACATACTTAAACGTCTTCAGGCGGAAAACAACGTTTCTGACACCAGTTCCGGTAAAAAGCCTCTGCAAGCAAGCAGTGCATCTTTCAACTTAGCTTTAAAAGATGAATATAATTAAAAGTGAGGGTGGATTTCCAGGCTAATCACGATACCTGTCACTCAAGGTTATTCAAGCTCGAGTCACAAGCGTCCACTTGTTCTGTAACAGTTTAAATACAGTGTATGAACTTTGATTAGAAAAAAAGTTAATTGGTCTAAACACCAGAGATTAACAATAAATACAATGTCGCACAGCTTTACTAAATAAAATAGCATTATCCCTTCGCATTTTTCCTGAACGAATAGCATCAGCCCAACAGGTTTCGTTGTAAAGTTTATAGCATGGTAAATAGACATTGCAAATGTGAAAAGGCACATAGGCACTGACATCCTCTTTGGAAACGTTTTTGATGAAACCGTCATCTGTTGTTAAGTAACGAAGCGTCTAAAAGTATAATTTGGTTATTTCATATCAAATCAAGTTACGTTTAGTGCCGGTTCTTGTGAGTATTATTCAAAGGGAAAACCTCTTCAGTATGCATGTGCAATAATATGGCATGCATATTCTATTATCAGCTTAAACAAGTTTCATTACGTTAAGTTCAATTTATAGCAATGTTCCACATATTTTTGTCATTTCCTGCCATAAAAAAAATCCCGTGATTGAACAGCTTTACTAAATCACTGCAACGCATTAGTAGCCCCACCGCGGCATCAGTGGACTTTAACATGAACCGCTGCAACGCTGTCGAAGGTATTTTGAGACTAAACAATTACCTGACATTTAAAGGCTCGCGTCTGAATTTTACATGTACCTTGCTTAACTTAAAGAAAGAACGCAAATTGTAGCCTTTTGGCAGACGCTTGCGACAAATAGATAATTACCTCATCCTTTTAATCTGTGATTTGTGTACATGATCCGGCAAAAATTCGTGATGATGAAAAGGATTAGTAGGAATTTTGTGGTGAAGAAAGCTGACAAAGATTTTTTCTTAATCTTAGTTGACATTTATGTTTCAACATAGCCAGTTGCTCTAGCTTAAACTGACTTAAGAGATACTTTTTCAGATTCAAAAAGCGGACGAAAATCATATTCCATGGCTTTTGCATGTAGTAGGATAAAGTCTTTCTTTTCTTACCGCATAGTATCAAAGGCATCAAAGCGAGGACGTCTTCCGAGACTCCTTCTGAAAGCTGGGAACTGTCACTTGATCACTCAGAATTGTTTTATGATTACTACACATGCGTCTGCAAATTCTCTCAAAGAGGATTCAAAGTTGTTACAAGGCTTTCATATTCAATGGACCATTTCCTAATCCAATTTTGAATTTCGGAGTTCGTGCTTTTCTGAACCGCAAAATACTCGGAGAACCAAAGGAAAAAAATTACGGGAAGTCCAGCCCTTCGAAAGTGACAGTAATTAATTTTCATCAACTGTCACTGTAAATATTACGGTTGGCTTTTAGAGCAAGGAATCAAATAGGAACGAGGACATTAGAATTCATCCTAAGTTAAAACGAGATACACAGTTTGGCAGAGGCTCATATAGGGAGCCCGCATGGAAAATATGTTAAATGCAAAGCACTTAACCCTACATACTGATGCGGCAAGTATAATCAGGTATAGTCGGACGAAGGTCAACTCGATAGAGTTAAATACATATTTTAGTGACCTTTAAATATCAAGAGGGCGAGCACAACCATCTTACGACCACTATCAATCAGAACGCGTACACAGACAACAAAGGCTTTCAGATAGTACGATCAGACATAACAATAAGTGCAACATGGTTCGCACATCATCCATGATCGTTTTCAGTGATCCTCTCTCTAAATTCGGTGATACTCACCTAACACAACGAAAGTAAACAAGTTAATTTTCTTCAGCGCTTTTTGAGAGGATGAACAAAGCAACTCATCACCTTTAGGTGGGGCAACAATTAAAGAAATTAACTTGCCATCAATCACTGACACCGTTGTGTTTATACGAAAGTTTGAGTACAGTTTTGGCCAAATACGTAATAACAGAAAATCCTCTTCATGGCTTTATCTCCATCCCTAAAAAAGAAAATGTACCACTAAACGAACTGTACTTACTGTGCAACTACTAAAAATCTAGAGAATTATAGACAACTATGAGAAAAATGACGTTTGTAGTGATACCTTAGAATCATAGTATTGAATTCGAGCCAAGAGTTGGGAATGAAGGCGGAAACCAAAGTAGTTTACGAAACTTTATGTCGTGGCTAAAAATATCCTAAATGAGTTTGGCAATATCAAGGAAAAGTGATGTATCACACTATAGGGGTTGACAAACATAAGACATTGGCACAAATTTAAAAGGTTTCGGGTTAAGGAATTTATTATCTTTTATTATGTAATAAAAAAAATCACCTGGAACCCAGCTTAAAAATATTTGCGAAAGTAATAATGAATTACTTGTGACCGTAAGTGTGTGTAAAACGCGACATGATTGTGTACGGAGGTCGATCGCACTTACTTCCTGATAAACAACAAGACCCTCCCATTATCGGAAGATAAAAGGATTCCAGTCTGGTGCACTGACGGCACATTTCAGTACAGTCTGATTTGCGGTTCTTGATCCTTCCTCCAGGGTTCCTTTTCTTAATTTGGTAGTCACCTGGCATGGAAACGAAATATTCACCATTTAACATCACTAATATCCTACGGCACGAGAGCTGTTCTACCACACCAGGTCACCTGGTATATAAGGGTGGCAAAAAACACGAGACAGATAGGCCTATCATCCCGGCACAAATGTCGTTAGCTGACCGACTGGCAGGTTTGTTCACCTCCGTAGTTCTCTTTTTTTTTTCCTTAGCTTTTCGAGAGATAAATTTTTCAAGTTAGGTTTATGAACACGATGGGGTCATTTTTATTGACCTGCGCTTTGTTAAAAAAAGTTGCCAAATGCGACGACAATGGTGGGTTTGTTGTCATGTAGGCGAGGGCGAAAGAACGCCCAGAAACATTCTTCTCCTCTCGGGTGTCTTTTCATGGTTAACTGGCAATATTTTAGTTCAATCGATCCCAGCCTAATCCTTCCTTTTAAAGAAATTCGCGTTTTCGTGAAGACACAATGTTTTTGCGAGGTACTGGTGACAGGCACGTAATGACACGAAGACAGATCATTGTGTGTTCTTACTGTTTACCGGACCATGTGGCTCATTCTAAAGAAAAGCAACGAAACGGACATAAGGGCATACATTGACATTTAACAAGGTATGTTTTCTCTCTAAATGCAAGAAAGTCATGTCTAATTTCAGCGTCAAACTTGCAGTTTGTTACAGGCACCATACATTTCCGCTGCGAATGTAGAAAGCTACATTCATCAATTCAATTAGAAAGGTCTTCGTATTCTTTATGTCGCTTCTTTGTAACTTTTAGGCACTTGTCGACCGACGTTAAGATGAAAATAACTGGTTTTACAGTTATTTGAAAATGTCGGCTGTAAATACTCTTTTTGCAGCTTATAAAACACGTTTTGCGGTGTGTCGAAAGTCAGTTTAGAACCTAATAATTACTTGATAGGTGTTACAACCTAAATTAGTTTCCAACAGTGTCGCCTCGCTCAAAGCTCAGCTCTTGTCCAGTGTTGACAAATTCTTCGCTAAAACGTCGACTTAAAACGGTATGCACAAAATTATGCAGCCAGGAGGAAAAGCTACTGCCTTACATTTATGTTTTGTCGAATTCAATTCATCACACCTTGCTCTCGAATTGTTGGGAGGTATCAATTCGTCATGTCTTCCTTTGGAGATTAGACTTTTGCTGTCTTGCTTTTCATCGTTTCATGTAATCTTCGGGTGAGAGTTTCGCATCATTGTATTACATGGAAAATATGTTTTTTTTGCATTGTGGCCTGATTCTGCGTTACGGAAATGAGTTCTCGAGCGCACATAAATTCGATTCATTGGAATTTTCGATAACGTCTTCTGTTCGTTGGAAAGAAATCTCGTGAGAAATTTATTTCTTTATTAATGTTAAACAACTGTTAATCGTAGTTTTTGTATAAAACAGTGAATATCCCTTCAAACACTGGTCGGTGGAAACAAGGTGACAACAGCTGTTGTTTATTGGAATAATCGAAATGTCGGAATTGCTAACTCTACTCCAACCTTGTTATCTGATGTTCTAATAAGACTATTTATGCATGCCCTTTTTTCATGAAGTCAAAGTGCGTACAGCAGTGTTCGTTTGGCAGTACAAGAAGACATTTATTTTGCAAATTCATCGTCCAAAGTCATCACTTAGTAATTGCTAGTTCAGTAAAAGCTCTCCGCGAACATTCCGGTAAACATACAGCACTACTTTCGAGTGCATTCACAAGGTTGTGTAAACTCCATATAAACCCGCTGGTCACAGATTCTCGTTGGTGGGTGTTATTTTTAACATTAGCAAGCCCTTTTTTGAGTTACGATTTAGACGATTCTTTTGCTTTTAAGCTCCCGTAAGCAGACACCCGAAAGGAATTCCATTAGCCTCTAGGTCTTACTTTAATCGATCAACTTCACATCCCTGTTAGTCACAATGATTTCACAATGCAATGATTAATTACAGGGCCACGTTTATGTGGTTGGTTTGCTCGTACACATCCTATGTTGATACTGCCATACTAAGCGGCCATCTGTCGCTTACACGTCTAGTTAGGACAACTTTTCCGCGTCCTAAGGGTGTCCGCTTAAAAGAGTTTCCACTTCAAACTTATCAGAAGAAATCGCCATCATGTTTGAATAATAAAACCCTATAACTGTTGCCACTAACCGCATAATATTTTATGTATCATGCAAATACCATGTACAACTGCCTTTGTAGTTTCTTGAGTTGAGGTATGTCAATTTAAATCGAGCTTCGGCTGAGCAAGTACAATGATTACAACTCGGTTCCATCGTGTCCATCCTACACGTAGTACCGATGAGATAACGAGTTTCATGAAACAAACCGAGAAAAATACACAAAACAAACCGCAAATCACTAAGCTTTTCTCTCGCTTTATTAAACAAAATGGAAGTCTAGTAAGGAAATAATTTCGATCTTTTTCCTAGCATCAGCATAGAAAAAGACTTGTGATCAATTGTTTCTCATGGCGGATATGAATCCACGCCCTGTATAACTCGATTTACGTTTACAAGGTTTATGTCACACTAAGAAAACTCGCCTCTCTAAGCGATGGGTTTTGGCTGAGGTGCTAAGTTGCAAATTTGTTTCCTTGATTTGTGTGTGTTTTCAAAAGCTTATTAGGTCGCATTTGCGATTTGGTATTTGTTACTAGCTGTCGCCTACGGCTCCAAAAGTCGTGATGGGTTAATCTGCGATGACATACTCGGGTGCTTTGTTTGCTCACAAAGGTATTTTGGGTGGTCGCTTGATTTTGGTAGCGTTACTCAAATAGGAGTTGCGTTAGTAGTTCCTCAAAGTACTGAAAAAATATGCATATTTCCTGATTTGCCAAGTTGAAGAAATGTCTCTGGTATCCGGTAAATGGGCGGCAACGCTATGTCAATTTCACCAACATCTGTTCACAATAATTCGTATTACTTTAGTGCAAAACGACGTCTACTTTACGGGTCACAATGTTAATCTTTGAACGTTTCATTTTGGTGTGACCCTTTCACTAAGCAATAGAAACTATATGAAAGTACAAGATTATGACATAAGCTACAAGAAGTCTCTAGGTCGACTCCGATCTGTAATTATGTGTGATCTGTCTTTATATAACCGCCATATATGGAGCCAGAGACGAACCGAAATACATCTAATTCTGTAACCAATCACAAAATAATTTCTGACCAAAAACATTGAATTTTTTTCTCGCTACATGTTCAGGTTTTTTATCAATCATTTTTCTATGTTTAAGAATTTTACAGAAATCATAAATCAACTGTAATTTAATCATAGGCAATGGTCAAGCTACAGCATGCGTATACGTAAAGTTTTCAGAGGTTTATTTTGATTTGATCCAGCATACGAAGAGACCACGACGTCGAAGCACCACAAGTAGCTGCTAGCACCAGCGAATCCTTCGGAATACTCGATTGTAGCAATGCATTTTGTTTAAGATTTCCTTTTTGGATATGGTCGAAAAAGTGCTGGTTCACCGGAAAGTGTGCTATACATGAATTTACTATTGAACAATTGCTGTGACAGGCGGCATATGTGTAGTAAGTTCTGGACCCCTTGCTGCAAGAAAAGTGGCAGGCCTTCAGGCAAACACACGTAAAATTTCTCTGAGTTCAATGGACCAAGCTTGTCCATTGATCATCTCACGAAAATTGTTCACCCTCATATGCTTCACTTATCAGTCAGTATTTACACGGTTTATATCTAATGGGAAGCCGCTATACTTGGCAAAGGTCGTACATGGAAGTCGCTTGGCATTCGGTGGATGGAGGAAAACACTATCAAATCCATCAGAATGGCAACTACGCTTCGCAGTACTCTGTGAAGGACTTGGTATTTGGACTAAGTCTTTAATGCTTGGGTTCTGGTGAACTACCCGCATACAAATCTCGATTACGAAGGTTTTTTTTTTTTAGGTAAAGAATGCAAAATAACATTGATGTGTATGGGAACCAAAACCTAGCAGGCATCTTAAAAACACTTGCAAATTCACTTAAAGAAGTTTCCAAATTTATTTGTAGATGATGTAGCAAATACATCACTGCGAAGCACGTTGTTAACGAGAATGTTAAATAAGGTAATTCGAGCTTCATTTCGAGGAATCGCAACGAGGAAACAACAGTATGCACTTGCTTTTCAATTAGTACTGTTTATGCTTGTCCCACCTATTTGAAATCAATAGCATCCTGAAAGTTAAGGATTTATGAAAAATTTTGTTTATCAGAGACATGGAAAATACCCAGTTTGTCAATCAAGCTCACGAAATTTTCGGACTGAAACAGAATATTTGTTCAACGTAAGTTATGTTAAGACCAAAATGAACTGACTAAAGAAACAACACAATGTGAAGGTGGCTGCTAATTTTCAACAAATGCTACACGAAGAACAATTTGTCAAACTAAGCGACAGCTGCCTATCGGTACCACGGTTATCTTAACATATAAGACGCCGCATAAGACCCGACAACATTTGTACGTGCCCTGCTAGTGTGCCTTTGCAGAATGATTAATTACATTGGAAGGAAGCATCCTTATCGGAAATGACACCAATTACTGGGTCATGACCACGTGCCTTAAAAGGAATAATGAGGCCGCCTATCTTCTCAGCTGACTAACATCAAACAGGCGAAATCATAGCCTAAAACAGAATTAGTTTTACTTTGTCAAGTGCGATAACAGGTCTGAAAACCCGATGCAATTAGGACCTCCGACATTTTAACTACCCTACGTCAAACACATTTTTACACTACACTATCACGACTTAAAGTACGTTCCACTTCTAAAAAACAATAGAAAAACAAACAGTTCTCAGGATAGTTAATCTATCTTTCTATTCAAAACTCGCTCATTCTCATGCAAACGATACGTAAAAGAATGACGGAAAGATGCCAATGAAAACGGTCTTAAGGAGATTCCTAAAATAGCCGTAAGGAACACGCCAAACCTAGGCACTACACAGCGTATAAAGTATAATTAGCGGATAGTAAGGGGTGTTTACCCGTGGGATTCCAATAATAAACAACACTTCCTTCGTTTACTCAAACAATACTTCGTTCTTAATTGCAATAAGTTGCGGGTATCAGGTGGAATTTGACTCAGCTAAGAAATCAAAGCTGGAAACATCATAGTAATACCGTGCGATCGGCTGAAATTTCCCCCAGTAGGATTTGAGGCAATTGTTCTCTATCACTTTAATATCGTCCTACCTTAAATTGAGTATATTTTATAACTATGTCGACGCACACCACTGAACGTCTACAAAGAGAAACATTTCGAGCTACAAATTGCAGATTCACAGTAAAGAACACATTTAGATCATTCCTTCCAAAGACGGCTATTCACTCAGAGCCTTCTTCAGTATTCTTATTATTGTAATTTAAACCTTTTTAAAACCTTTACAGAAGTAATTTTGGAAAACCAAGAAGACAAAGGAAAACGCAAGCCAAGACGAATGCGAACATGTTTTACACCAAGACAACTCCAAGTACTGGAGCAAACGTTTGCGAGAACACATTATCCAGATGTACTCTTGCGGGAGCAGCTGGCTAATTTTACAAATCTTCCAGAATCAAGAGTACAGGTGATGAAAGTAGTCTCCATTTATTAGATAAACCTTAAAAGACAAAAAGTTTATTCATTCAAAAAGAAATTGTTGAGCTGCTTCAAGGCGGTAAATAAGGCAAACTTCCACCTAATGCTAATCGACTCGAAGTGATTGAACATACCTTAACGAAGTAATTTTATGATGAAATTAAAAAGATCACCAATAGCCTTTCACTGAGGTATAGATATGTTGTAGTTAAATAGCTGTAAAAGTAAGATTTGAGACTAATTTGAATCATTGGGTGAGCCTTGCAACATAAAGTTCCATTAAAACTGACTGAGTAAACATCAAAGCAAGCCGTGTCTATCCATGGTAAAGAAAAATGAGTTGACTATTTGTTAACATTTTGGGTACTGCATTTCAGTTCGAGGGGACATTCAACATCAGAAATTAACTCTTACAATTTTAAAATTAAGTTATAAGGATCACATTATTTTCAAATAAAATATTGCTGCTGTTGTTCTATAATGACTGTCTTCCTTTCTTACAGGTGTGGTTCAAAAATCGCAGAGCAAAGTATCGAAAGCATGAAAAGTCTGGAGTAGAGGTGTTTACCAAACCAAGCATTCCTTCATTCCTTAAACCAGATAACTCAAGAATTCAGAGGCATGAAACTTCATCGCAGTCTCACTTTCCCATATTTCAAAGACCAAGAGGTGCAAGTCTATCAGTATTGTCATCAGTTCCGAGAAATGTGGACGTAGCCGATCGACTGCATGAGCGCGCCCACCACCTTCCGAGCGTGTCTTCATTTCTTCCGCCGGTTCGAGAAATCCTTCCTTCATGTAACATGATTCCAACACCTATTCATTCATTGTCTTGCCCACCTGAGTCGTGTCGCCAACCATTTCCGACATACACTCTCAGGCATTTCACCGATGTATCCCCTTTCGGTCCAATTAACAATTGAAACTGGAATGTAACTAATACCTTAAATTAGTGGTCCATCGCTCAGAGGGCTAGAAGGATTATAAAGGTCAACCTGCGTTGGCAACTGTCAATAAGATTCAATTAAGTACATATTAATTAGACGCCTCGCAACACTTAAGTATAGCAACTTATTCTCATAGGCACTACTGTGACAGCAGAAAAACTGACCCTTCCCTCTTCAGTTTATTCCTATCAAAAACAACAACAAATAAAAATGTGAAGATCTCAACTTACAAACACACCATCATGGTGTCATAATTATCCATGTGTTTCTAAAGTGTAAACATAAACACAAATATAGTACCCTCAATATACAGCAATAGCATCACAATACATGCTATGTTTTCATCATCATGTAGCATCACCATCAATATCTCATAATTGTGTTATATACTATTGAGTCTTTCTACCCAAAAAAAATATATTCTATTCAAATGGGATTTGAGCACATTTCATATAATCTATGTATTGCAACTTTTATGTGAAAACATAATTTTAGTCCTGCAATAAATATTAGATGATATCACCACAAGGCTTCAAACCGACATTAGCAGTTTTTCAAATAACTGTGTAAAGTTATAATAATTGATGACCATTTGCACTGAGCTCGTGTAATCTATCTCTAATTGTATATAAGGTAGCAATTGCAAAAACATACTTTCAATAAAAATTACTTCCATTTCATCGAACAGGATTTTCACTCAGGATCAAACATCTAAAGGTTATGCTTCTCGCGGAAGAAAGTGACAACTTCCCAAAAACGTGGACAATTCATCGACTGTTTTGTACCTTTCATAGTGGACGTTATTCGCGTCTTCATGGTTGGCTCATTTCAAAGACCTTTTTCCCCATAAAACTGATATACCTCCAAGTTAAATTATGACTGATTTTCGTGATTTCTGAATACTGATGCGAAACTTGACTGAAATAACTGAAGGATAACAGCAAATCAACCATGATAGTACCTTGTTCATGTATAAATGCAATCTCCCTGTGGTGAGGTTATCCTGATTCTCGAAATCGTTTTCACTTCTCGATATTAAAAAAAAAAAGGAACACAGGAGCCTTACAAGTTAGAAAGGTCTGCCTTGTTGTCAACCACACCAAACCTCTTTTGATGAATAATTTTGAATCTTTGACACAGCTATAACATTAATATAACAATAGAAGAATATTTTCGTGCGTGATTTTTTGAGGCAAGTCTCTATTCAAAGTTAATGATGTTAACTTCTCACGCGAAGTCTGCGTCGCTCAAGAAAGATCTCTACATCCAATTTGTTGGCGATTTGGTGCGACAAATATCAGGTGCTGTTAAGGCAAATACATTCACCTACGTTTTGTCTGAGTTAATGAATTGGAACGGATAGTGCAAATATAGACACACGCCCTCAGGCAGTGACAAGCTGCGGCACCATACGTTATCAGTTTAATCTACAGACGTCTTGCAAGCTCAAAATAATGAAGAGAAAAAAAGAACATGTACAATAATATTCATCAACACTTTGTCTTATGAACACCTTTTACCAAAAGAGAAGGACAATGAAATGCAGAACGCGCTTCGGTGTGGGAGCCAGTGGGACCCAGTGGGAATCTTCTAAGTCACGTACAAACATATCTTATCCATTGGTGGGCCGTGAACAAACCTGATTTCGTGGTGTAAGTAACTACTATTCTTTAAAGTCTGAGAAACCAAATTATTCACTAGTAAACATATGGGTTCTTTAGCTAAATATTTATCTACAATCGTTGTACTTTACTTTTCTTACAGGTAAAAAACGCAGAATGATGCGATTCAACTCTTCCTTTTTCAGTTTATCAACAAAGCGAAGTTTTGTTTTTCCATTATAATACGAGCACCAAACGCTTTTGCATTGTAAGAAATACAATACCTTTCAAAACCCTGATTAATTATTTTCTTCCTAAAGTGAAACCGAAGAAGGACATTTTACAATCGTAGCTTGAGTTAAACAATAAGCTATGACAAAAGAGCCGTTTCCTACACCATTCGAGGTAATCAGTCCCTATGAAGAAAACAAACTAAAAAAAAAAACGGCTTCAAAAAACCCATCAATTGACCTACAAATTTCAGGTAAGTTTTAAAAAGTTAGGGTGTTTTTTTTTTAAGGACGTTTAACCGTTAACTGGCAAAACCGCGTTCTAACTAATGATCAATCACACGCTACATGTTTTGTCTTAACGTTAATTTTTAAGGGCTCATAACTGAAATGCCCTGGCAAAATACTCAGTTACCTTAATCAAGCACTAACGAATATAAGTACACCCGAGTCCATCGATTGTTTGAAACCACGGCCTAACTCAGACCTTGTAACCGCAGCACTCGTTGCCAGTGTGTGAGGCGAAAGGCTCAAAGACTTACTGCATAACATCAAAAAGAGTCTTATGTTTACCGAAAAGCAAGATTTCTTTTAAGGATGTTAAGTTTGTACCCCATCACAAATTTAAGTAATTTTATAACTTTGAGAAAGGAGGCTCTCGCGTGCTATAGATGTAACTGTTAGAGTTCCGGGTGGTGTTAACACTGATCAACATTTCTTAAGCAGAAGCTACCACCTCAACTGATTCTAAAGTGCTCGTCTTTGTTACTATTCATTTGTTCCAACAACGTTAAACACACGATGCCAGTATATTGCTTTAATATCTCGAATTAGACAGTTTCAATTCCCAATAGCCTTCTTTTCCCTGATTCAAGTAACCGTTGAAAGCCCCACCTTTCCAAACGACTTCGACTGCACGAGTGTCGATTTAATTGAGTTACGACATGAGTGCAAAGCCATGACCGATGCAGCAAATATCAATTTCGCACACTTTCCAGCCAAGTACAACAAGTTGGAGTTTGGAGAAGGTCATAACGAGGGAGGGATAGCTGGCTGTTTAGAACTTTAATCAGAAGTAACTTTCCTCTCTTTAAAAGAAATACCTTCCCCCTCTTGCATTCGTCGATTTCCAACCCCACAAGCAGTGAATTTTAAGTGTTAACTGTTTGGGAACCTAGAGTTCAACCGCCGGCGAGAAAAGACTTGCTAGTTTATTTTGAATACCTTACTCAAACAAAAGGCTTTCCTTCTCTTTGCTAATTCTTTCAGTGGGAATTTTTGACACTGTAACATTTCAAAGCCAGCCTCACTTCTTACATAAAAGACTAGTCCCCAAATCCCTCGGTCCTCTAAAGAACAGCAGCAAAAGACTAGGGAGTACTCATGCAAATTCTTCTTTATGCCTGATCTTGGTTCTTTTTTTCATTCTGATTTTATGTCAAAAAATGTACTATACCAATCATTGCATCTTAATTTCGAAAAGTAAGACTGATTTTTTAAACTTGCGAATCCCGCTACTCGAGAGTGCATCAACAGATTTTGTACTCTTAGAAGTCTCATCGTTATTTCGAATTGAAAGTCAAACTCTTTATCAGCACAGTTGAACAGAAAAGTCATACCTGCTTAGAGAGGCATCGACAGGTTTCCTGCCAGCCAAGTTGATACGCATCCGAGAAGGATTTTTAGGAACAAACAGTGCTCGGCACAAATGGACGACACAGATAATGCTCTTCCAAACCTACATGGCTTGGAACGACTACAACGTAAAGGTATCATCATTCACCTTATTCGATTCGACTATAAGCTTTTGTCATCAACGAACCTTCCATATACAAAGAGGCATGAGAAAAGAAAGACACCTTAAATGAGGTGTTACGCCGAAAAGCACGACATATAACCTCGAGTATAGTTCACGGTCCCAGTAAACAAAGCAGTTCAAATTCATAAACTTCCTTTCTTGCTAGGTCTGACTTTAGAGTATGGAGTATTGTTAAAAAGTACTTAACACTGCCGATCATATCATAAGACGTACCAGCTCAGAATTAGGATAGGTTTGTACTCTAAAATTATTTTACTCAAGTATGAAGAAGTCCAAGTCTCATTAGTTTCGGAAATTAAATACACTAAATTTTAAAACTGTCCATAAAAATCTGTGTCGAGAAACTTCGCTGTGCGGCTGGTCATTTGCGGCACTTTTTTTTAAAAAGTCGACTCCGAAAACACCAGTTTACTCTACTTTATGAAAAGGTAAAAACTTCTACGGTGATCTTGGCCGAAATTCTTAAATATGCAATTAACCTTTTAGAATCGTAATGTATCTCAATATTACCGGCAATTTAACAGCTATTACTTAGGTCATTTGCGGTTTCTTTTTTCATTTAAATTAATAGTGCAATTCTATAAGTTTTGACACTGTTCTCGTTTTTCAGGCCTATTGATCGATTCGGTCATTTTATGTTTTACGTCTTTCTTTCAATAATACCATGATTCGTCTTCTTTTTTTAAGGCTTGTTGGCTTTTTCCTTTGTATTAAAACATATTTAATAACGCGAATTCTAAATTTGCAGCCAATTAAACTGTTTTGCTGATCAAATAGAGTGCTAAATGTGGTAAAAAAATAACCGCTTACTTATAATAAGTGACAAAAGACCCTCAAGGTTAAATTCAGTCGATGACATCTTTTACTATTTTTCAAATTTCGAAAGTTAGAAATAATTTCAGCCCAGAGTAGGACAAACGCAGATAAAAACGTCCCTAAATTTTTTTAATGTCAAGGTTTCTTTTTGTAAACCCCAGAATTATGTGTTTTATAAACTATCCTTGTTTTAAACGATAACTGAGCATGTGTACTCTATGGCTTCGGTATTTTATCTCCCAGGCTCTCCCTTGCATCGATTTACAGCTGTGTCTCACGTCAGCCCTGGCAGTTATCCAAAGCGAAGCGAAATATGTCCACAAATTATCATACCGAACTAAACCAAGGTGATAAAAAGGGAGACGTTTCTTTAATCAATTCATCAGTTCATAGGAATTAGGAATAACATTTCGACGTGAGGATTGAAATTGATGTGCCAGTAACGGATTACTTGATATAAAGGAGAGACGATTTTTCCCCCTTTTCAATTAGACTTTATCTCGCATGGTAAAAGAGAACACATGGAGCGAAGAGCAGAGCGCTTTTCACCGGCTTGTCATCTGCTCTCACATGTAAAGTGAACCTCACAACGAAGATAAAAAAGTATCAACTTTGATGATCATTAAACAGAAATCAAATGCAATAGCAGATAATGATATTTCTTGAATGTGTATTAGAAAAAAGTAGGTTCTTTTTGGCTAAGGATAAGAGATCAAACCAACTTCTACAACTAAGTTTGGGTGAATTTAAAATATTGTAAATTAATGCAAGGAAATCACGACTTGGGCATTCATTTTGATACGCGCGCCAAGATTGATTTCTAAAGCAAAGGCTGAGAAAACAATTCAAAAAATTTTCTGTACACTGTGGTTTAAACAAATTAGAACTGCCAAATTAAAGTCAACAAAAGTGACTAAAGCGGGCACGACGGATATTGCTCTTCATCACCTGTGACAAGTTTTAACCAATTTTCAGTTTCTTAAAAAGGCGAAGTGTCATACATCAAATAACGCTTCATTAAAACGTTCTTAAATTGTTAATTATCTAAAGGCTTCCGTTCAATATCGTTTGAAACCTTTGCTGAATAATCGATAGATTTCGTTCAAATTTTCTCAGGGTTCCTTAAAACATTTTTTTAAAAAAAATCGTCCGTGCGACTTTTAATGCTGGCATCATCTGGCTGCGAGTTTTAATTACTTCGATCAATGGAAAC